TGGTTCTCTTGTTATCCACCTCCTGCGATCCTCATCAGCCCCAAGCATGCTGTCTAAGTATTGTGTCCTCGCCGAAAAGAATATCTAGTCTTCTTGGAAGCGTTGCTGGAATGTCGTCGGCGCCCACGAACCGACTCGGCAAGCCTCACGTCGTTGCTTGGTTCCTCCGCGTTTCCTGCGATGGATCCCCCAGCCCTGGCCTCAGCCCTACAGGACGTAGCCGGTGAAAAACAATCTACGACAACGCGGTGTCTTTGGAATGCGATAGCTACGATCAGTGGCTCTTAAAACCTCAGTAGCCCCCTTTCAATAGTGAGCTCTTCGATGTGAACGCCCTTACCTTCAGTGTCCGGAGACTGCTGCAAACCTCCGACGAGAGCGGACGTCTTCTTCGGGCTCCGCAAACCCCAGAGAACTGTACGCGACTGTACGTGATCCTGGTATAAACATCGCCGCGCTCCGTCGGCCCGCCGCAGCATGTCCGCCGAGAGATCGGTTCGCTCGAGTCTCGTTCTGCGAGCGGCACGCCCGTTTCTGCTTCGAATATGGCTACAGCCGACATCGCCGCTTCGCAGCTCACCAATATCTTTGCGTCCATCCTGAGCCAGGACATGAAAATCTCTCTAAAGCGAGACGACCAAGGTGGGAAATGGATCACCCCTGGAAAGCCCCGCAAATCTCGTCTTCCGGCCGACTTTGACCCCGAACTTCACGTAGTTATAGTGCATTTCCCAGTCCGTCCTGCTGGCGCAGCTGCGCTGCCTCTTGACAGTTTGCCGGCGTTCTTGCAAGCCGCACAGCTCCCTGCTCATACATGTACCGACGTGTCGCTCCACCTCCGGCAAAATAACCGTCCTCCACACCCATCACGAAGCATCGTCAACTGGCTACTTCGCATCACCAATATCACCTTACAAAACACTTCCCCTCCCGTCCACTCCTACCTAGCCACTCCAAACAACTCCTGCCGAGGTGTTATACGTGGAATTGCCTCGGAGGCCACCCCCGACGAGATCATCAATGATCTGGAGTCTTATCAAGGTGACATCCTTCACGCAAGGCGAGTAGGCACAACAGGTTCAGCCATCATCGCCTTCATCGGAACCCATGTCCCTTACACAGTGTACTACCGCCGCCTTGAATTTCGCTGCCGTCCCCACAAACCTCGAGCCCATCATTGCAACAGCTGTGTCGAGTACGGACACCGCACTCTGGCCAGCCCGGGCAACCAGCGACGCTGCCCCCCGTGTTCCACCACCTTGGCCCGCCCAGACGAACCCCATCCCTGTACTCCCTGGTTTGCGTTGCTTCAACTCGCAGTGTGGTTCTCAAACAGGGCACTTGGTCCCGAATAAGCTGCTGCACCTTCACTCACTCCATGAGACGCATCCCTGAACAGTTCTAGCGGCATGTAAAGTGTGGATGCAGGATTCGGTTTATGGCAGTCGCCTTGTCAATTGCTACAGTGGAGCACACTGCTTACAGAAAGGATCGTGCTAAGAACTGTAGGCTCACTCCGGATCACTCACTGCTTTGACATTGGCTAGAATTCTGGCCCTTCACTGGACGACCAGAGTTGATCTCAAGTGTGGCCCTCCAGCGGGTTGTCTTATTATGCCTCCTAATCAGCGTTGTGGAACTGCAACTTCACGAGACAGCACTGAAAGGAGTTGTTTGCAAGAATTGTGCTGGTGCCTTTCAACCGTTTCGTACTGTAGAACAACAGCCTTCCTTCTTGGTGTGGTCTTCACTGTTCTGGCAATCCCTTTATTTGCACTCACGCAGAACCCCGCTAACAATCATCACAAGCTCGAAAACATCTGTAGACAGGAAACTCGCTACCTTCACTCCCACTGAGGTAGAGCAGTGCCTATGTGCTTTAACGTGAATTGCAGACTTTTACTTGATTTCTATTTTGTGTTTCCCCCCACTTTTATTTGTTCCTTTTGCAGGGTACTGTGGGTTTCTTAGTATAGTCTTTTTCCTCTTTACTATAACGAATTGCTCTTAGCAGGATTAGACGATAAAAGCACTTCTAACGCTTTTATCTTCTACTATGGTACTCTTTGGCACACAACTATACTATTTTATTCAACCTAACGAAAAATGGGTTTTATGTCCGTTAACTAAGAAACGGACACACTGTCCGTCAGAATTACGACAAAGTGTTTGTAAAATTACGGAAATTTTTTACAGTGTACGGAAGGCATTCGATTCGATACCACACAGCACAGTCGTGGCCGCCGCAAAGAAAAGAGGTATACAGGGCCGATTCCTGAATTTCATCAAAACATTCCTACAGGATCGCACGTTCCAGGTTTCTATCGGACAAACTAAAGGTCAATGGAGAACAAACAATATCGGTGTTCCACAGGGGGCGGTTTTGTCGCCGCTACTATTCAACATCGCCATGGTTGACCTGGCTCTCGCCCTTGAAGCCATCCCACAAATTCGCTTCACCATTTATGCGGATGACGTCACCCTGTGGACGACGGCAGGTGGGGCGGATAGCCAACAACGCTACATGCAGAGCGCGCTTGACGTTGTCATGACCTTCGCCATCCGATCAGGGTTGGAGTTATCAAAGGAGAAGACCACGTACATGGTTATACCCAGCCGACGCAGGAGCGCCCGTACCGACATCCAACTGAGGGTGGATGGAATCCCCATCGCCCAGAACAACTCCGTCAAAATCCTCGGGGTCCCATTTGACCACAAAGGCGGTGCAGTCACTTGGCTTCGGAGAGTAAAATCGCAGTGGAAGGAGGGCCTAGACTTGCTCAAGGCTATCTCGAGCAAGGCCTGGGGTGCACAGGATGATCTCCTCCGGCGACTCGTCCGTACCCTCCTAATTGCGAAGGTAGTGTACGGACTGAACTACCTCCGCCTTACAAATACTCAAGAAACCACACTAGTAACCATGCTGAGAGCGGCCATGCGGGTCGTTACAGGGCTCCCCCGCTTCTGACACCGGTTGAACAGCTAGAAAGGACCGCTCAAATGAACACCATCCGTGAGATTGCCGAGGAGATGCGGATAAGCCAAGCTCAGCGGCTATCTCGCACTCCTCACGGGCGAATTATTCTTGCCTCGATTGGCCGTTCCGACCTAATTGACGGCCCACTCATGCCTACACCGACGCCACCTTGGGATGCAGAGGCAGTCACTCCCATCAACCCCTCCCAAGTCATCAAGGACCTGATCACCCTGGACGACGTGCTACACAAGTAGCCATCCACCGCGCTGAAGTCAGCAAGCTTGCCGCGCACGTGGATGTCTTCTACACGGACGCGGCGAGAGACAACAACGGTCGCACTGCGATTGCCTGGCATTCCCCTACACGCAAAGAGACGAACCACAAGCTTACCGCATGTACACGGAGCAGTTGCATGGCTGAACTTCTGGCAGTTTTGTTCGCCGTTGAAACAGCCACGAACATGCCACGAGCAGAAACTACAGAAACTCGAATATACACCGACTCCCAAGAGGCAATGCGTGCACTACAGCAGTTGAGCACATGCAACGTTACAGTTGCGCGCATCCGCGAACTGGTTCGTCAAGCCGCGGCTCGACAAACAATCACCATCGCGTGGATACCGGGCCACGCAAGCGTTCCAGGGAACGAGCGGGCGGACGGGGCCGCGAGGGCACTGCTACAGGCAAATACTCAGCCCTCACAAGGCCCGGTCCCCTCGCCCGTTCAACGGGACGTTCCACCTGACGAGGGCTTTGATCTAACGCAAAAGAAGAAGGAAGAACAAAGAGCACGAAAAGCGCGCCTTGCAGCGCTCCTACCTTCTAACCCCCACCCGATCCCTCGCGGGCTTCCACGATGGGAGCAAGTCGCACTACACAGGCTCCAGACTCGGACTATGGTGACTCCCTCTTGGCGTGCCAAGTTCTACAAGTCAACAGATGAGAATGACACAGGTCCTGACCCTGGATGTCCACACTGCGGTTTCCCTGCGACTTGCTACCATCTTGTATGGTCCTGTGAAGGGACGTCACTAGAACGGATAGCGGCAATTAACACCTTACCGCCGCACCTTAGACCAATGACCCTTCGGGAATGAACGCATCCGAGAACCTCAGCACCCGCAGAACGAGATCTCATCTTCGCATCAATCATCTCCTACCTCCGGTCCTCCGGGATCGGACGGTACGTCTAATCCATCACCATCCCATCACTACCCCTCTCCCACTCCCCCTTCCCCCATGCCACATGAGGTTCCATAGACCAGAGGCATGGAAATTAAATAAACGTTTCAATCAATCAATCATGTGCTCTAAACACCGCCCTCAAATATGGTGTCTAGAGAATACCCTCTATAAAGACGTGTCGGGCGCGGTGTCCAAACAAAGCAAAAAAGAGAGGGGGGGGGGGGGGGGGGGGAAGTAACGGAGCGATGGCGCCCTAGTCGACTGTCCAGGTCGCCCACCTACAGGGCCGGCCCTGCAGGTACGTCCCAAACAAAGAGTTTCAAGGAAAACACTGGAATGGCGTAAGACAAATAACGTATCTTATACCCGTGCCACACGGGCAACTCGAATGCCATGTACAACGAATGACATTTGAGCGGAGGGCCAATCAGCGCGCGACACTCCGGGCGTGGCGCATTCCACGCCCGACAGATTGCGAGCTGATTCGCCGATCACACAAATGTCATTCGTTGTGAATGGCATTCGAGTGGCCCGTGTGGCACGGGTGTTACAATGAACGTACCGCAGCGGAAATTGGTATACAAAGGTCCGTTCAGAAGCGTGCAAACTTAATTTGCACAAGGAATCTAATTTGCGTCTAGTGGCATTTCCTGCGTTCGTGTGTTTTATTGAGATGTCAAGCTCCCCGCATATCTGGCAATTAAGAGTGAAGCGGTAGGGAAAGGCAATAACCTCTTGTGCAACCGTATGAAAAATTAAGTGACTGATAATTGACCGGAACAAGAAGCGAAAAATCCGTAAATTCAGCTCTCGCTTTGAATTAAAAAAAAAAAAAAAAGTCTGTTTGAATTTAAACGTTTCTATTATCACCGTTCGTTTATTTTTCTCCAGACATTTAGCGGGCGAGTGATGCCTGTCTCCGTTATTGCTGCCAGTCGCAGAGATAAGGCCTTGACGGTGGCGCCGGGAGACAACGCTTCAACCGGTCACAACCAGGTGGGGCCCAGTGCTGGAAGGCAAGTTAAGACGACATTCACATTGACACCAGCCGCCGATGACTGTTGAAGACAAAAGAAGCCTAGACATTTTTTTACATTCCCATTTGAAGCTATAGATGAGTCTCCGGCCCAGCTATCCCGCCGAGAAGAGTTTGTGTTTACCATGACAGCCAGGTCGCACCAGTTGAGCAGCGGTTTGCCTGGGATCATGGTGCGCTTGTGTTCGTGGTAGGCTCGGAGTATGGGAGCGATGCCTTCGTTGTACTCATGAGTCCCCACCCTATTAATTAACGAAACAAGAGCAAAGAAAAACATTTACCGGACGTTTTTTTTAGCGGAAGCCGCTTTTAAAATATGCGATTACGATACCCGATAATCCGCCGGCGCCTTTACGCATGCACCATATCGTTATCGGGTACCGTCGTCGGAGGTATGGGAACTGACTTTCTAATACGTTGCTTCTGCAGATAAGCAAGATCAAATTAAATACAGCTCGGACAAGGACACAGAGACAAGGAAGGAGAAAACACCACGAATGTGGTGCTTCCTTCTTTATTGTCTGTCCCCCTCTTCCTTGAAGAGAGGAGCGTCTTAGAGTGACATGCGCCACTTTCCAGGTACCAGAAAACCTCCGGGTCCGGTGTTTGAGCCTGGGTCCAAAACCAGGGTTTTACCCCAGGGGGGCCGAGCCACCATAAACCGCGTCGGGAATTTCTCTATTGTTTGTTGAAAAAATAAATAATAACTGCAACAAAAATAAATAGGAGAAAGAAACATTCTCAATGCCCTGCACCGAGGCGCGTTGGGCTTGGGTCCTCTAGGGCTCTAACTGGACACCCGACGAGAAAGTCGGCGAGATTTCGGACCACCGTTATTGGCCAGCGCCAAGATCAAGCCCGGCGCTGGCCAATTGCAGCGGCCAGAAATCTTGCCAATTAACATTCTCGCCGAGTGTCCAGCTCAGGTCCCGTGGTTTGCTCTTCTTGTGATATCAAATGAACTCAAAAGCTCAGTGAGGTTTCACGTTGCTCGTCACCCGTACTGGATGGGAAACTTTTCTCCGGGGTCTCGGCCCAAGTGGAAGAGGATCGGATGCGCAGTGTAGTTGCTCTGCGAGTGCGTCGTCACGCCCGGCACTTGGAATCCCGGGCAGAAGTCAATCCCCTGGACAAAGGTGGGACAAGAATTAACGGGCGCGTACGCGTTGCCACAAATGATAATAGAGGTTTTTCATAGATCGTTTCCGCTGTCCCGCAACGTTCTTCGCAACATGCTACGATGCGCGCAGGCGCAGTAGCGGCGTCTTCGTTGCGGAGGGCTGAGCGGAGGGAGAAAGGAGGTCTACGAAAACTCCCTAAGAAGGGGTTTTCGTTTTCGCTGTCCCGCAACGTTCTCCGCAACCCGCTACGAGATCTGGCACTCTGCAGGCAAGGCTAGCGCCGAGCATGCGCAGTAGTGGAGTATTCGTTCCGGAGAGCGTAGCGGAGATGGGAAAAAGGTCTACGAAAACTTCCTAATAAAATAGTCTTTTAAGATTACTACAGGATATCAAGAACGCCCCTACCGTCTTGAACTGCTCCCAAGAATTGGTCCAGCACCAGAAGTGGGCCTTGTAAACGCCCTTACGCAACGCCATGAGCTCGTTGCCTCTGTAGTAGAACACGGGCCTGCGTTCACCGTTGTTTGTACGCAGTTAGGTGAGGGTGACGGGGGGTCCGGATGCCTGCGACAACTTTAAGCACGACCTCAAAGCTCGTTGTCCACAGCCAGGATGCATACACGACAAGTGGAGAGAAAAAAAAAAAAAAAAAAAAAGACACGCTACTTTTTTGACAACCAGTCTGAGGCGTGCAGGTCCTTATGGTAAACTCTCGCTATCAGCATCCGCGTGACTTGTATACACACATGGGTGTCAGCGTTATTCGGTGCGCAGGCCTTTTAGCCGGACGGAAATGAAGTCTCTCGGCCACTTCCGGCCGCTTCGGAACGCTTTTGCGTGGTATAGTCCATGCGCGTCCTTGGAATGTGCTCATGACGGACCCTCATGACGATCTCGTCCATGGACTGACAAGGACCCTCAAAACAAGCACTCTAAAGCTCTCATGCACACAAAAGAAAGAGCCACTTACACAGCGCTGACTTCGAGCGTTTTAACAGGTTTCCTCCATGGAGACACACAGACAAGTTGCCATTGCCTGGCCGTGATTGGCGTTGTTTTTAACGACCGATTAGAACGCCTGATCAGGAACTCGAAGGAAGTCTACGCGCGGTGGCGCCCGTGTCATACGTGGAGAGGCCTTTCTGTATTGCGACGCACCTGTCGGGTGTTTTATCCTCATAATGGCGGTGGGGCGATTTGAGCAGTGCCGGTACGACGCTTGTTCCGTCTAGAACCAGTCCTGGGGGCAGTGAAACTTGAGCCAGTTCCGCTATGGTCGGCAGCAGGTCCACAACAGTCACCACTTGCCTTGTTCCCTGCGAGGAACCAAATGCGTGCATAGTGGAGATATCGTGAAAATAAGTTCCCCAAGCGTCCCAGATGTCTCGTATGCAAGGCAGGACGTCTCGGGCCTACGTCAGCGTCATGTGACGACCGTCATGTTGACAATCGTCACGTTACACCATACATCATCGAGGTGACATCCGAGGCCTGGGGCGCTTACAGGCGGCCCTATAAATGGGCCGCCTGTAAGAAGTTAATACTGATCCTGAAGTTCATTTTTTAAAGAATTAAAGTAGTGCGGATACGTATCAAAAAGAAATTTGAAAGATACGGGTGAAGTATTGGGAAATACGGATACAGGAGTGGCGTCCTAATGAGGTAAGGAATTCCGATGTGGGAATAGGGGTTTCCACCAAAAGAGGTTTGAATGCTGTAATTCATATTGTTATATTGTTTTGCATACGCGAATAATTGAAATAAAGTATAGGCGTAATTGCGACTCATTCGCTGTCCACCCTAACTGCGAATACTCGCAGATAAGAATATCGACATAACCGGTAAAAATTAGATCACGAAAAAAGAAAAAAAAAAAACATTTTTTTCCCCGCGGCTTTAGCTGGTATGACGACGTCTATTGTTGATCTGTATACGTAGCTCCAGGTTGACGTATACCTTTCCCGCCTCGATGACTCCGGGCCACCAAGCAATAGCCGGTTCCCTGAAGCCGCCTTCGAAAGTAGTCTGTTTGCCGCACAGGAAAGGACCGTTGCTGCCTCCTGCAAGATATATATACAGGATTTCTTTCTTCGAAAGCTTTACTCTTTTTTTAATGTCGTGAAAGTTACACTAGTGCAGTCTGTGCAGGTGAACGTGACTCACAACCACTAAAGATTTGGAGCCCGTGGGAACCACGGTGGTACAATTATGTTTTGACATTTGTAGAACAAAAAAAAAGCACCCTGCATATTTTTTTAAAGAGCGATAACATCCTTTCCGCTCTAGAACGAAGCCACCAAGGCTCTGCGTCGCCACGACCGCCAGGTCAAACAGCAAATGTGATCCAGGGTCCGCGAATGGCGACACCATCGTCGCCTCAGTTCCCCATCCCAAGGTATACCTTCCGTCTTGCTCACAAGCGCGGCACCGTTGTCGGACGTAAAGAAGACGAAGGTGTTGTTGTCGATCCCCCAACGACGCAGCGTGTCGAGAATGACGCCAACGCTTTGGTCCAGCTCTTGCACGGCATCTCCGTAACTGCGGACATCGAAACGACTCAAAGTCAACCAAATCTCATTAAAAATAAAAAATAAAAAAATTACACAGGATGCAAAGCCGTGCTGCTCGCTTTATCCTGGTACTGTAGGGCCATTGCGCTAATGTCAGTGACTTGATGAGAAAGCTATAGACCAGGGGTGGCCAGGCTGACCCGGCCTAAGAGCCGCAAACAAAATAACGAAACTTCCGAGAGCCACGGGAAGGGGGGAAGAGGGAAAGAAACTTTTGTCCAGAGCAATAAAAACAGACTACTTTCAATCCGTCTGAGTCAAAAGCAGTTCAACTGTACATAAGGAAGTAGTAGCAGCAAGACTACCAAACCGCAACCTTTCTTTCGATTTAAAACGCATTCCATTTCCCTTTTGCGGAAGTGCTCGAGTGACCGGGAGGGAGGCGGGGAAGAGGAGGGGGGGGGGGGATAGGCTAGGGAGGCGCGAGCCGCACTTTGACACGCAAAGAGCCGCTTGCGGCTCGCGAGCCGCAGCTTGGCCACCCCTGCTATAGACCTTTCCAGCGGCAGTCTCGAACGAAGCGATTTACAGCGGACGGCCCTGTATTTGAGAGGGTAGGTCAGTGTTGCCCGACTGCGCTGAGCTGTGGGTTTTCTAGGCAGGGGCTGTGGCAGCCTGCGTAGGCGCACTTCCGGGCGCTGGTGGAGGCTAAATTGCCGCGTTATATTTTTCACTTCGTGTTCTATGGCAAATAGAATTTCTCTGGGTTTTTACGAATGCATTGCACTATTTTTTGGGAACAAAAACAAAGAAATGAAAGCTATTTTGGTGAGTCCGTGCGCGACCGAACAAATGCAGCTGGAAAATTTGTTTCCTTTTACGTTGATCTTTTTACGGCACCGTACACTCAGCTGTGTCAATTTTCAAAGGTCTTAGCCGTCGAAAATATTTGACCACACAGGATATGCGAACTGCATAGATATTCCCCGCCCACACCATGGAATTCAACGAGTATTATCAATCGAACAACATATATATATTGTACGTACCCCACGGTGCCGCGTTATCCAAACAGGACTTGAGAAAGGTTTTAAATAACTCAGCATGTCCAATATACCGTGTCGACAATCGCCGATCCGGTGTGTTTTAGGGAACATCTAGAAGAGAGCTGCTTTTTCGCACATATTCAATGCAACTGTACGAACGTGTCTATTCCGTCACCACAACCCGGACCCGACCCTATCAGCTATTAGAGAGTTTTAGTAATACGTATAGGGGCAAACGCAAACCCCCCACGTTAGCGTTAACGTTGCGTCGACGGAACGTTACGGAGCGCGTCGAATACGCACTTTTAGTACAGCGGAAGAAGAACCCATACGTAAAGACTTGTAGCGCCATCTAGATGTGCTCCTGTAAACTGCTTCAAACAATCCAAGGCGGGTATTCGGTCAAGCCAAACCAAAGCCCCGATTCTCCTCGCTTTGTTAGGGAAGCGCGTGTTTCCGTTTGCCTGTTGTGTACGTGTTTTGTCTTTTTTTTTTTTTTTTTGTTTTTTTTTTTGTACCGATTGCACGGTAAACACCTTTTTGAGTTCGACGGCGTCGCCAACGTTCTTGGCTATCGACACCCATCTTTATGGGTGCTCGAAAGGGTTCGTCGCGTTGACTTCTTTGAGGAGGTTGATGTCATCTTGAATGGTAAGGCGAACCGAGCAAACCCTTAGAATGCGCGTAGCACTTCCGCTGGTTTGCCCACTGATCTCAATGACAATTGTCATAGAGATCAGTGGGTTTGCCTCACCGCCGCCATTTTTCAAACTGAACTAGTCTCGCGCTTTCCCGTGCGCGACGAGAGCAACGAGATGGCACGTAGGGGACCGCTACGTACGTTCGCAAAAATCGATAGCGAGCGTACGTACGCAAGGCTCGCCGCAGTACGTACGTATGGCGCATGCGAAGTGTGGAGGACGCAACGTTAACGTTAACGTATGGGGTCTGCGTTTGCTCCTATACGTATTACTAAAACTGCTATTTTTCGCGAAGACCCGGAACATAGCCGGGAAGGCTTTTTGGAGATTATCTCAACATAAATAATCTTCCAAGCAGGTTGAACCAGAGCTGGCAGTAATGTAATTATTGTAATGAAATTACAGTAATTTAATTACTTGTTCCAGTAATTAGTAATGTAATTCATTACTTTTTGTAGCAGGTAATTTAGTAATGTAATGAATTACTCCAACGACGGTAATTGTAATTAAATTACCTAATTACTTTTTCGCACCAGGCATATTTTTTGTGTCCACAATACACAAGAGCGCATTTCTACACCTTTCCAAAAAACGCTCTTTGGCCGCCGCTATGTTGCTGATGCCAATGCGGCTGGTGCGACTCTCGCGCCCGCTATCAGCTAGACATTTTCTGCCACTCTCTTGAACTGTGAAAACCCGCTCAGCGCAATTCTCTACCTATGTTTTGCGGATTTGCATTCGACGTTTTCTGGCCCCTCTTTTAAGTTTCCGCTTACTTTTTTTGATGCATGCTGCGTACCCTCTCTGTGTTATCGTCCACTGTGAGAAATAGGGCTGGTAAGTGCCTTCCATTCAACCTTTTCTGCTCGACATTCTCGGGAAACGAAGGAGGGGAAGTAGGTCGAACCAAGGCCCCTGGTGGAACGGCCCTCGAACAATGACAAGTGTTCTCCCCCTCCCAGAGATAAGCCGCGTAGGGTCCTCAGTCATTTCCAAAAATAGTTGTCCGGGTTGGAGTGGGAAACGGATCAGTCGCGTGCGTTCCTCTGTCCATCGGTAAACATGCAACAGAGACTTCTAGCTGTGTGCCATGAACTGTGTAAATAATGTAAATAAAGTTATCTGTAAAAGGAAGTCATCAATAGCTCCTTTATATTTAAAAGTATACAAAAGTAATGCGAAAGTAATGTCATTACTTTTAAAAGTAATTTGTAATGGTAATTAATTACTTTCTGGCTGGGGTAATTTGTAATGTAATTTAATTACATTTCAGCAATTTTGAGCAAAGTAATTAGTAATGGTAATTAATTACTTTCTGGCTGGGGTAATTTGTAATGTAATTTAATTACATTTCAGCAATTTTGAGCAAAGTAATTAGTAATGTAATTTAATTACAAAATATGAGTAATTTGGCCAGCTCTGGGTTGAACTGCCTGCGTCGCGGGCTGCTTGACGTTCGCTCTCTTCGTTCGTTTCCTGCGAAGGCCGAGCCGGCTACGAGCCCTGGAATTCCCTGGTTCTCAGAGTGGAAGATAACATACAAAGGGTAAGCACGCTCAACAGGCAAATAATGTAAAAACTTCCAAGAAAAGCCGGCGAACTCCGAATGCACAATACAGGTGGGGAGTCACGCTGACCGGGTTTCCACAGCTCAGGCGGGTGCCAGCAAATTTCTGGCTGATAGGGGTCGCTCGATTCGCAAAATAGCGGCGGCCCGAGCGCTCTTTTTGCAAAGGTCTATACACCTTTCCAAAAAACGCCCCTAGGCCGCCGCCATGTTGCTGATGCTGATGAAGCTGGCGCGACTCTCGCGCCCTCTATCAGCTAGAAATTTTCTGCCGCTCTCTGGGACTGTGAAGACCCGCTCAGCGCGGTTCTCTACCTACGTTTTTGCGGTTTTGCATTCGAGGTTTTCTCGCCCGTCTTGAAAGTTTCCCCTTAATTTTTTTTATGCGTGCTACGTACCCTTTTTGTGTTATCTTCCATTGTGAGAAATAAGGCTGGTAAGTGCCTGCCATTCAAGCTTTTCTGCTTGACATTCGCGGGAAGCGAAGGAGGTGAAGGACGTTGAACGACCCTCGACGCGATTTGGCGAACATTGTGCTCCCCCCTCCCAGAGATAATCCGCGTAGAATCCTCAGTCATCTCCAAAAATAGTTGTCCGGGTTGGGGTGAGAAACGGGTCAGTCGCGTTTGTTTCTTTGCCTTGGTGCGGTTGTGAAAAAAGGAAGCTCTCCCCGAAACGTGCCTCGAAACGAAGTGATCTCGGATTCCGTCCGATCGTCAGGATGTGACTGTCGTCGACTGTGACTGTGTTATTTGAGATCTTTCTGAAATAAATTATTTTCGGATAACGCTGCATCGTGTGGTACGTACGATATATCGTTCGGATGTTAACACTTCCTCAATTGTATGTCCGTGTCCTGTCCATCGGTAAACACGTTATTTGTGAGCGTGAAAAATGCATGACTTTCGGCCCTTTTTGGTTGCAATTTATTTTTGACAGCAAAGCGCTTTGTCATTTCACATACGGCGAATCCCGCGGCGCCGAAAAAAACTTATCGTGAGAAAAAAACAAATGACTAGAACTATACATTCCAGTCGCATTCGTTCTGTCGCGCGCGTACCCAACAAAAATAGCTTTTTTTTTTTTTTTTTTTTGCTTTTTTGTTTTTTTAAATGTGGCACAATGCTTTCTCAATGTCCTCGGGAACATACATGTACCAAGAAACACAAAATATAGCGGGAAAATACGAGAATTTAGCCGCCGGCAGCGTTTGAAACTGCGCCTACGCAGGCTGCGCCTGTTGAAATCACAGTCCACTCGGTTAGGGTTAGGAGGGACGCCGGTGACAGTCTAGCCTCAAACTCAATGACTGGGCTCGAAAACGGTTTGTTGCCCCTGGGGTCGAGTGTTTTTTGGAAAGGTGTATAGCAGGGATGGCCAAGCTGCGGCTCGCGAGCCGCATGCGACTCTCCGCTTCTTAAATTACGGCTCGCGAATCCCTCACCTACACCCCCCCTCCCCCTTCCACACCTCGCTCCCTCTCACATAAGCACTTTTCCAAATAGAAAAATAAAACGCGTTTTAAATCGAAAGACGAGTTGCGGTTTCGTAGTCTTGCGCTACTGCTGCTTTACGTAGAGGTGGGCTGCTTTTGGCTCGGATAGATTGAAAATAGTTTGAGTTTCGTTTATTGCTCTTCACAAACGTTTGCGTCCCCCCGCTCCCCTTGCGGCTCTTGGAAGCTTCGTGATTCTGTTTGCGGCTCTTAGGCCGGGTCAGCCTGGCCACCCCTGGTCTATAGGATAAAATTCATTGGCGCTCCGGCGAAAAAGAAAATTTCGTCTAAAATTTTTATGCCAATGAAACAATCACTGATATCTATAGACCGCCACACTTTTGATCTCCCAATTATATTTCACAGCGAGCTTCGTACCAAAAACGAATTGGGTCAGAAGTTTTTGTTTTTGTTAAAGACCATTAAGGAATAGAATGCTCTGCCCTTGGAGATTGCTCGTGCCGCAAACGCGGAAACCTTTTTTTCTTTCATGTCTGTTCACCCCCTGCGATGGTTCCTTATGCCGATGCAGGTTCAATATGAATAAAGAAAAAAAAAAAAGGACGTGGCTAACCGTACATGGAGCATAACGGTAAACACTCACGCCCCCCTGATGCTCCGCCCCCTGACAGCCTTCGATGAGTACACAGGGGTGTGGCTCGCATCCGGCGCCCAGTACAGAAAGAAAGGACGGTCGTGCTGTCGGTCAATGAACTCCACCGCTTCCTGAAATCGAAGAACGTTGCAAAGTACACCGAACGCCGTTAGATAGCCACTTAGATAACGTGTGCTTTCTGGGAGAAACGCGGGCGCGTATACACGCAAATGAACTTGTGCATATACATGTGTACACATAGCTATCCATGGTGTCTTATCTTCACTCTTCATTTTCTCTTCTACCTACTCTCTATCTAATCTATTTCTTCATATTTCTTAGAAGGGGAAAGCGAGCATCTTGACGCTTGTGTACACTCTTCTCGGGTCTCTGTAAATAGACCTATCCAATACTTATCACGAAGCTTATCAGGAGTCTTCAAAAATACTTAAAGTTAGACCGACGCTTCTAGCGAGGGGAAATGTCGCCGACGAAACATGCGTCACACATGCAACTCTGGCAGGTTCTTTTTCTGTGTGTGTGTCTAATTACGCATGTTAATTCTACGCTGTTTTCCCTCCGAGCATGAAATTTGCGTGTGCATAGTCAGACGATCGATACACTTTTCAGGTTGAAATGCTCAAGTACTTGCGTGAACTGTAACGTCAGATTTGACGTCCTGTTGTCGAGGTCAATGTCGAAGTCTTCGTAGTACCTGAAAATTGAGAAAGACAAGCGTTGAAGTGTTTAGCTTGTTCAAGATGAACATCCCCGAACTAAAATCACTGGATCTTGGGAAAATAGGGCCAATACCTTCCGTGCCTCCTAGCAGGAGACAGACAGAACATGGCTGATCGGGACCTGTTGTAATCGCCACTTCGGTCCTTTGAAATCTTCAAAAGTGTCATTCCGAACCAGGCGAGCTAAGATCACTATGAAGCATCATCGCACTGAAAGCGTTCCTCGCCAATATAAGTACTCTTTGGTACTTTATATGCAATAAACTTATCAATCATGCTGTCCTCCACAGATCTCTATGGTTCTTCGTGCGTCTGCTTCGCCCGGTCTATGGATAATAATAAAAAAAAATGTCTTTCTAGGCCAACCTTTTTCATCGCGAGTTTGGATCGGCTCACCAAGGATGCAGAGTTCAAGAAGAAGCTGCCCATTCTATGGATCGAAATGGCGACTAATCTTGGGAGCTCGGCGCTATACTTTCCCAAAGTCCAGTGATTTTACCCCGAACAAACGGTGATAGCCTGGACCTTCCAACCATGTCAGAATCTCTGAAGACGGCGATGTTGGGGCGCTCCACGTTGTCGTAAGGCCCGGGGTGGCAGTTGGGCGACCCGAACCACTCGTGGAAGCCGTGGCGAAGAGGGAGGAACTGCTCCTGGTGGCCCAAGTGCCTGTAAAGAAGTAGAGGGACCACAACGGGTGAGCGGAGCAGCGTCCTAATCTGAGACGAACCATGTCACGATCGGGAGTCGACAAGCCTGTTCGGCTGTTCCCCTAAAAGCTAGCTCACAGAGTTCCGTCGCGTATACGACCGCGAGTTCGGGGACATCCGTGAAATCGCGTGCGAAGCTAGATCCTCCAGACACGACGCAACTATCTGAATGAGCTTTTATATAAAACAGGCTTGTCAGTGGACTGTTATCGAGAAACTGGCACCCTCTGGAGGTTTGTCTGCGAGTCACAAATGAAGGGCCATAGCCTCCAAGGTTCTTGGCGCCCAAAGCAATGGCAGGGCAGCCCAACATGCCCCATGGCCCGTCGGGATCCATCGCCGTGCATCGTGTCGTTCTGTCGGTTTTATTGCGAAAGCATTCTCATGGAGCGAAGCCGGCGGCGTCTGTGGCCGTTGTCTGTAGCAGCAAATAACGGCACCTAAATTCCCATTGGCTGAGCGAAACGGCATTTAAAGTCCCATTGGCAGCGACGCGTCATATAAGATGCTTCTTCGCGGAAGCCGGCGAGGCCGCTCGAGGTCAAAGCGGACGCGCCTCAAAAATAAAACACAGAGAAAAGCACAGCGACGCAGATACAACGTCATGGAAGCCGTGGAACCGGCGTGCGCGGCGCGCCTGCGCAGTGAAGGAGCGTCATGTCACCGCCGGAGCGTCGTCTGAAAAAGGAAGACGTGGCGCGCTGCTTGGGAGCGCGCTGCGTGTAGGAGTGCGAAAACATTCCTACACGTAAGCTGATTTAAGTGTCTCTGCCGAGTTTGCTTATTGCTCTCCATGCCACGACAAATGCTTAAAAAAAAAAACGGATAGATGCTGACAATGGTTGATCTTGCAAGACGGTGCCCTCCAAAAATGGGGACAGCGGAAGTAAGGCCAAAGCAGGATGTGTATACGCATGCGCAGATGCTTAACGGAAAAAGGTCCATTATTGCAGTGCGGCGTAGCCGCCAGGGCAGTGTACAGGAGGAATTTCGGACGGCTGCTGGTTAGCGCGGCTGGCGACCCTAAAGCACAACTTGGTGGGCCATGCTGCCGAACGATTAAGCACAAGCGCTCGTACTCGGCACTCGGACTTTGGAGCTGGAAATCAGATCTAATGAGTGCAGCCGCGGGCAGTCTCAGAGTTGCGAAACTTTCGCGTAACATGGCGCTACCTGTCAAACGAAACGTCACTGCCCTGTCTCGGTATGCTAATAGCGCCGAGATGTTTCGGTGGCGCCCTCTTATGCTTTCCCTCCGTGACGTCACGATTAGGATTTGCCTCGCCGTGACGTCACCAGTTGTTATCCTGGCCACTTACCATCAGGTGCGACGACAAGTTTGGTGGTGTGTTTAAAAAGCACAGTGGAAGCTATAGGAGCCATCGCAATCCGAAACTAACACCGTCAAAATTGACAATCTCACAATGCTCATATGCCCACGGTTTGGTTCATCGTGGAAAGCTGATCGCAGCGACGCTTTTGGTCGCGCACATCGCTAAAAGACAATAGGGAGTTTTCGTAGACCGCGTTGCCCACTCCGCTAAGCGTTCCACAACGAAGAAGCTTCTACTGCGCCTGCGCGTCGATAGCCTTGACTGTGGAGTTCCCGCTATCGTAGCGGGTTGCGGAAGGTTTTGCGGGACGGCGAAAACGATCTACGAAAACTCCCTAATGACAAGCATGGTGCCCGACCGTTGCTACGCGAGTGCAAGCATGTGCAGCTTGCGCTTGAACCATGGTGGCTTGAACATAGCCGCGGCATGCCTCGAATTGCACGTGCTTCTTCGCGCGAGCGAAGGCGCACGTGCAATGCGGCACGTGCAATGCGACATGGCGGCAGCTAGTGGCCTTGCTTTCAATGGTCTATTGGGGACGTGAGTGATTGAAAAAGTCGCAGTGGTCGACCTGCCACGATTGGCCGAATGCTGACTATGACGTCAGCAAAAGATTTCTCAGCACGTGCAGCATTAGCGTGGACGCAACTTGGACAGGCTTGCGGTTGCACGTGCTTGCTCGCACGAGCAGAGACCCTTGCCACGCGATAGTCAAACTTGGAGCCACTAAATAGGCTATGCTCCAGACCAACGACACTTGGGCAATTTCGGTGCCTAAAATCATTGTTCGAAACGCTTTTTCGTAATCAAGGAATGTTCAAAAAGTCGGCGCAACAATACCGCCTGAGTGTCTTGACAGTATCTAAAGCTCAGAAAGTCGTACGAGTTGTAACACATTTTTGAAAAAACCGGGGACCACGGACGAAAAAGGAGACAACACACAAAACTTGTCCTCTTTTTCGTCTGTCGTCTCCGTTTTTTTTTTTTTTTTTTCAAAAATGTGTAACATCAATTAGCTCGCCTGCCTACTGACTTTACTTTTCAAGAGTTGTAACAATTGCCAGTTGCGCCCGTTCTGCACAACGCACTACAATGGCGGCGTCCACAAGCAGTGGCGTATCCGCCCGGGGGGGGGGGGGGGGGGGGGGGGGGGAGGGGAGGGGGAGGGGAGGGGAGGGGGACCAGTAGGCCCTTAGTCACGTAGGGATGTGCCACCCCTAACAGCACACGGCACCTCCCCTTCCCCCCTCTGGCTCCAGTCGTTGAAGACTTCCAATGTTTGCTCTTGTACTCCCCATCTATGGAGCTTGCGCGATGGAAGCATTGTAATTACCATTTGCCGATAATCGCGTTCCTGTAACCAGCGGTGGCAAGAAGTTCGGGGATGAGCAGCTCTTCGTCCGGAATACCGCCCACAATCTCTTGCGGCGTGTACGCTGCACGTGTCATAGAAGCTATGATCAGTCGCTGCTTATAGCCGTGGGTATTAGAACGCACGCACCGTTTCTGGAGTGGTTGTTGGTAGTGTAGAACCCGTTCCTGATGGGAAGACGACCGGTCAGTAAAGCGGCTCTTGCTGTAAAAAAACAAATCATAAGCCTAGAAAAAAAAAGAAGAAAATACAACAAGCAATGAATTTTTTTTTATATGATTTGCAGCCGGTATTCAGGCACAGTTCTGAGATTCTTCAAAGGAATCGATCCTCGTAGAGTGTCTGTCAATAAATCTGAAGTTCTATACCTGATAAACGCTAAGGTCGTCGTTTATTTCGTGATTGCAGTGTTCGTTCGAATTCGCGATTCGGTTCTCCGTGTAGCCGCAGCATCGTATACAAAAGACGCCATGTTCCCTGTAGACATGCGTTCTCCGTACAGCCGCAGTATCGTAAACAAAAGACGCGGTGTTCGCGTCAAACACGCAATGACAGAACTATCTGCGGATACGACTCGAGTGTGTCCAAATCATATCTGCTTCATACATGTCTTGGCACATGTCTTCAGACTGTCTTTCGTGTGGGGTATATATGAGCAGTACGCCCGAGGATACCCTTGTTCGACTTACAAGGTGAGCAGAGCGGGTTCGCAGTGTAGAAGTCCGTGAGGAGCATCCCTTCTGCAGCCATTCGATCTAGGTTCGGTGTCTCCTTCGCCGGCTGCCCCAAAACGCCCAAGTCTCCCCAGCCCATCTGGAAATACAAGGTCAACGGGACACTCTTCTTCACTGCCGAATTGCTACGACGACTTCATCACGTTGTGAGGTATACAGGGCGCATGACTTGGGAATGCTATGCGGGGCGCAAGTGTCGTCTGCTTCTTGCACAGGGGTTGCGATGATGTCAGAACGCCGAGCTCTTATTGGCAGATTGAAAAATAAAATAAAAAAATAATGGGTAGACTTTGAGGTATGTGGCATCCAGGTTTACCCAGTATCATTTCAATCGGAGCCAATCAGAGCACGGCGTCATTCTGACGTCACTGCAGCTCCTGCGCAATAAGCAGACGACGTGCACTCCGCATAGGGACCTAACACTGACTGGCCAACGTATGCACCTTTGTCCTATGCAAGTTCACCGTGTCGCCGAACAAAAAACAAAACATAACTACGTTGTTTATTTTATTGCAAATATAAACTACGGATCGCCGAAAGTTCACTCCCCGCGCATAGCGCGAGCGGTTGGGCATAGCCTCCTCTGTTGGGACTAAAGTCCAGTGACTTTAGTTCGGACCAGATGCCAAAGTTCCGGGGCTTGCCGTTACCTTAATAAAAAAAGTTATAGGGGATCTCAAATTTTCGTTGGGAAAAGTGGGCCAGCTCCCGGTAACTGACACCCCTTTAAATTGAAAGGGAGTATGACCCTTTTTACAAACAAGTCCGCGTTCGCTCACACCAGGAGGGCTATGTTCGACAAATGTTTCGTTTCTCCTAAAAATAAACGGAAGTGACGATATCGCGCCTGATTGGTTCGAGGCTCAAATCACGAGAGCCTCTAACTAATCAGACGCGATATCCTCACTTCCGGAGAAACGAAAATCTTGTAAAACATAGCCCCCCCCCCCCCCCCCCCCCCCCCCCCCCCCGGCCAGGTGTAGGCGGTGCACGTGCGCAGAATCTCACGCGCATATTCGCGTGAGATTACGCCAACGTTGTGCCGCGACATCGAAGAGTCGAGTTGGTGTACAACACCTGGCGCATGAGCGAGTCAACTCACGTCGTCCATCATCATAATGACGAAGTTTGGCTTCCTGGCAGCTATCCAAGGCGTCTGCTGCAAGCAGAGCAGAAGTCGAACGAAGCACGGCGCCCACCAGCGGTGAAACATTGTTTCCGAGTGGGGCACCGCTCGCGAAATACTGGGTCCCTACAAAAGTATACGGATCGGAAGTGAATCGAACGAGTTGAACCGCGCACTTCTGAACGATGTATGCACCGGTTGCGATTGCGCGCGCCCGTCTTGACGGTGGGACCTCTTCTAAGATAGAAGGCGTATGCGGCCTGACTCGTCTCTTATCTTCGTTTCTTCCGATAGTAACAAGACGCCTCTTCGTAACTTCTCAAAAGAAACAAGAAAAAACAATACAAAAGATAAAACCTCAAATGAGAATTTGAGTTTGAAAAAAAAAAAAAGTTCCACGCAAGTTGGAAAACGGACCACGCGTTGGTTATACGGTACGAAATTCGTGAATATGCCTTTAACAAAACCCAATTTGCGACTTGCGTGCAAAGAAATACGTTCGTCTTTTTTCTTATCTTCTTTTTTTTATTATTATAGTGAAACAACTTTCGCGTATCTATCAAATTGTCAGTTGCCTTTTCGCGTGTGTAAACTAAATTAAAAGTAAAAAAAAAAAAAAGAGTTAAACGTTTAGTACGTAAAGAGAGATATCAGATGCCGTTCTTTCAGATTAGAAATAATTTCTCAGTACACTCGGTTAACTCTAGGTAGATCATGTTCATACTGGAGTGGTTTATATGAATTCTTGAACAAAGCAGAAAGAGTTGATACCTCGGGTCAGTTTACCTTCACTTCCTTTGGCATACGGATGGTATTGCAGACGCGGGAGGTGCGGCCAGTCAAACTTTAGCGAGGTTTAGTAGATCATTTCGGTAACCCCGGGAACGGTGCCCAATACTCCTATAACGCTTTTGCGCGTACATCGTTTTGCTACTGGAAGTATCAGGACGATCTACTAACACTTTCTTTTAATCGCGTCGATTACTTTCTGGTTGGTGTTAATTGCTGAAACGCACAGCGTATGGCTTGCAATGTGACACATAGTTAGTAGTCTTTCCTTTTAGCAAGTTCATACTGTATGTGAATTACTTCCGGCGATAAAGGACAGTGCTGAATGCGCTGCTCGCATACGTTTTACTGACAGGGAGCCATTATTTCTGCTTGCAATGAGCCTCTATTAGCCATCCGAACGCAATGGCCAATTCAGCGTGTTCGTGTCTCTCATGAGCGTAACTTAACGAGTCCCGGAAGTCCGCAAGAACACCATTTAACTGTCTGTTAACTGAACAACACCGATGTCTCAAACAGTAGACAAATCTTGATATCAACCTTGCGTGAGCGTATCATGCTTCCTCTGTTGGAAAACTTACGTCTAAAAAGTATTTGAAGGAAAATACACAGTAAGTGAGAGGTTACGTACTTCAAGTAGTAGGTACACCGGGCGCAGTGTGCTTGAAGTCACGTACTATGAATACAATGTACTGTACAGTAGCGATCAAACTTTACTGGAGCGCTCGATCAAGGGTCTTTTTCAGCGGGGCGCTTACCTGGCGGCAGTCGGTGGTACCAATTGGCCACGTGGCGGCGGGCCCATCTCAGAGCGCGAGGGGAACACAATAAATTCTCAGGCACCGCTTCTTTTGTTTTTGCATTTTTATTTTACACTTTGCATTGCACAACTCATTTCTCGACACAAAACATAAATTAAATAAAGATCAAAACAAAAGTGTTTTGATTATTGCGTACGTTTAAGTACTGCTTGTTTAACGTTATCTGATACGTATACCCGTCCAAACTCGAAATCTACCATGTCCCCCCCCCCCCCCCCTTTCCTCCGCGCTCTGAAATGCTGAATTAAAGTACAATCAATTTTCAAATCGATAGCATTCTTTAGAATAGATCTTCACTTGGTTTTCGCGGTACGGTATCTGACTTCAAATGTGCCGTGCATCTGTGCGCAGCACCTCCGCATACGCAGGCGCCGCCCGTGTGCGGACGTCGTTCTCGACGTCGTCCTGGAGGTCGTCCGAGAGTTCGCCCTAGACGTCTTTGACGTCATCCTCTAGGCCCGTAATTTCTCGACGTCGTCATAGAGCTCCTCCTTATGATCGCTTCAGAGGTCGTCCTCGACGTCGCCTTTGACGTTGTCCTCTAGGACCGTTGTTCTGGACGTCGTCCTTGAGTTTGCCCTAGAGGTAGACTTTGACGTCATCCTCTAGGACGTCATCCTCGATGTCGTCTTAGCTAACAGATAGCCCCGCGCCTCGCATACACGGAGCGGCAGTACGCACATATTAGGGAGTTTTGCACATCCGACACGCGGTACCATGGGCCCTCCGATACAAACTTGCGCATGTGAGTCTTTTATGGTAGCGGATGTGCAAACACGGTTCCGTACAACTCTCCGTTCACATTGGCGCCCAAGCTGCGAGCGCTATACAAGTGTTATACAACTTGCATGGACCAATTGGTTCTTTACGTAACTTGATGAGGGTTCCCTATTGCTGCTCCATATTCTAATTTTTTGGTCGATGGCATGTTTCGTAGGCCTTTATACGTATAAATGGGGAGGTGCGGTTTTAAGGTTCATTTTTTTCGAGAGTGTGTACGAAGCTTCTGCTGCGATGGTCTCCACGTGACTATTTATATTTATAAGAGCAGACGGATTTGGTTAGCTCGGATCTATAGAGAACAGGAAAATTCAGACATTACGTTTTTTTGCGAGCGACGCGGACCAGTTTGCATTTTGACGTATTTAACGACTTAAGCCATTTAGAGCACCCATCAGACATGACTGCTGCCACCTGCGACGCTTAAGAACCAGTCTTGTCTCTCTCGGTCCTACTCAGTTGCAAGTGTGTGAATGGCGCTTGAGATGTCTGCATTGGACTAAGGAGCAGCTTCACGTGTCGCACACGTGATCACTCTCTTTCTCTTACGCTACTCCACATTTTCTCTTCTCCTTAACTTGCGCACCGAGCATCTCATTATTGCATCCAGGAAGATTGCAGCATACGCGATTAAGGAAGCCGAAAAACGAAACACGGAGTAAGAAGATGAAACATAATAAACGACATCCTGCGTCTCTTGAGCTATCGGTGACTGTAATGTCTAACGTCGTAGCCTGTGATTCACACCGGTAGTACCTCAATAAAAATACAGAACCGCTACGGGGTTGGTCCGCCAGGTATATTAATAAGGCCCGTAGGTTTGATCAACGTGCGATCGCCTTGAAACGCGAACTCAGTGACAGCCTCTACCAAATTGTTGTCAATGTCTCCACCTGAAACTTCTTTGTAACATTTTGTTATGAATGCCGCGGCGTCGATCCAGGGCCGTAACCAGGGGGGGGAGGGGGGTTAGGGGGTTCTGACCCCCCCCCCCCCCCCCCCCCCGCCTTCCCCGAAATTTTTTTCTGGGTACGGCCCTGATGTACCGAACCCCGCAAAGCACTCAAGATATGCGCAGATTTCGTGTTTGTGCCCTCAACCTAAGTACGAATAGAATGGATACGAATTGCAACTGGGGTTTAAAACTTCACGAGAGCGATTGCTCTGAACGCGAAAAATTATTTCGCTGGCAGTCGGTGGTTGGTCGGAGGTCCTCTAGGCTTGGTGGTAGCGGCATGGTGAAGGCAACTAGCGACTTCTCATAAAACGCAGGGTCGTCCAGGTGAATCGGCAAAAGTTATACACCAACTATTATTCCTTTCCATTACCAGGAATTAAATTCCTGACAGTTTTTTTTTCTTTAGGTTACAAGAGATTTGAAAGTATCCTTTTATTACCTTTTTAGCAAAGCGGAGGACCAGCCCCGGAACAGTGCGTGGTACATGGTCGGTGCACTTGCAGCCAGCCGATTTTATTCTCCACCTCTGCGCATGTGCAGTGGCGCCGGTCGGCTACCGGGTACCAAACCGGGACCGGTTCTCCGGTTTGCTGTAACTCTCCATTATATGCCACCGATGCACATGATTCATAGGCGAAAATAAGACAATAGACATTTTCAAAATGGCCGCCGTTGTCCCCGAAACACCCCCCCGAAATTTTTTTCTGGGTACGGCCCTGCGTCGATCAAACTATCTGTTGCAGGTGTGATCACTCTAAACAGGAAGACTAAGCCCTCATTATTCAATGCTCTTTCTTTTTCTTTTTTTCCTTCCCACTTTATTCAACACTGAAACTCTTGGCTCAAAAAGAAAAGAACACACACAATATGTTACCTCGTTTTTTTGTTTTTGTTTTTTTGTTTTACGTTTGTTAAAATGTTTAGAGGTTGGCGCATATTCGTTTTGTCGCACAATCTCTGGTTTCGCAATGTTGTGCACAGTATTCTTCTATGCTGCCTTCCCTTTTTTTGTTTTGCGTTTTTCTGTGGCATCAAATGTCTTGTTTGTCCCTCCCATATCATAGTGCCCTTGGGGGCACCGTGGGGTTTCCGCAATAAATTAGTAAATTAATTAAAGATGTCGGTTGTGGATGGAAAGTGTCTTTGACTCTCTTTCCTTTCTGTCACTCATAGAAGAAGCTGCCGGCGTGAGGCACTCGCGGAGGAACTGTGGACATTAATACGTCGGTATCGGCGTCCCTTAAGAAGCGCTGGAACTGTTTCTTTCTTTTCTTTGCAATGGCGTAGACAGGCAATGTTGTGCTGGCGTTTCTGGAAGTAATACGCACCCACATGCCTGAACCTGCAGTTAGACCGTGATAGTCTTTAACATTCTGTCGCAGAGAGCGAAAGCACCTCGTACACTTACATGTCGTCGTGGCAGGTGACGGAGACGCGCTTGTGAGAACATGACAAAGGTGCATGGTTGATGCTTTTTTTTTTTTAAGCAATAACAACATTGTAACACTTTTCGTATCGCCGTGCGACCCCAAAACATTTTCAACACTTAAAAAAAAGAAACTGCACGGAAGTTGTTTTTTTTAACGATGAATTTAACAAAGTTGTGGCAACCATAGAATTTTTATAATGTACGCTATAGAGGTTCAACTGGCGCTAGTCTGTGCTGAAGCAAATTGAAACAGACAGCGACCAGACGAAAATTGACTTCCGGTAATGCGTTTCCATGGGAAAAAGTGAAT